ATTTTGATTTAGTAGCACAATTTCCTTAATGTGTCCTTCAATGCTTGTCTCACTTCAGCGATCTTCCAGCAATAAAAAATGGGATTTAATGCTGAATTCAAGTAGATTAAAATGATACTGTATTGAGCAGCGAGAAAAACTGATGGTGTGAGATCGTTCAGATTGTATATAATATCAGTAATTTGGTATGGTAGGTAACAAGTTATTAATGCCAATTGCAGCCACAGTGCACTCGCGACTACCCTTTTATATCGCGTGATGTTCAGTGGACTTGTCTCATTTGTCTGCACTTGTGGTTGAGTTTGATGTTGGCGGAGTCTCCAGAAAATCGTTGAGTACGAAAAAGATGACAACACTAAACACAGTGATATTCCAATGTAGCCATACCATGTTGTGATACTGCCGTTCCATCGTGAGATGACTGCAGCGAATGTGGAAAGCACCCAAATGAGAACAAGAATCAAAGATGTTCGCTTTAAAGTGACAACATGTCTGTATCTCAACTTTAACAACAAGGCGAGTAGTCTATCAACGCTGATTGCAGTTAAGGTCAGCAAAGACACAGATCCTAGGAGGTAACCCAGGATAAAACGTAGCACTTTAGAATATCGACACAAAGTCCAGTTTTTTACTAAAATTGATATCCAAAAGGCACCACAAATAGGCTGGAAGATCAGTCCAACGCATAGATCACTCGCGGCCAAACCACGGAGCAAGAGTTTGGACGGCGGATAAAGGGAAGACTCGTGATGTAGGGCAACAAGAATCAGCGTATTCCCCAGGATGGTCACAATGGCGAGGAAAATGTTCAAAACCAACAGTATTGTCAATTGCAGTTGTAAACCCTCTTGTAAAATTTCCCAGCATGAATCTGTCAGGTTTTGCTCCGTCGTTTTATTTCTGTTTGATGTTGACATTTTCGTGGTAAGAAAATCCTACTATTTCACTCCAAGGGTTTAATTCTACAGGAATGCTGGTCGGTAATAGTTAACTGTCGGCGCCTGGCCTTAGAATCGGCTTATGTTTCGCTGATCGTCTTTCACTGATATCCAGTGAGTTAAATCGTAGATGCTCTTGCTCATAAAGAAAAACACTGCAGGCTGATCAGTTGTAGCCAATCAATTAATGAGAGAGCCAGTTACTTGACGACAGTTAAACAGAGGGCCCCCCGAGGGATCGCTGGATGATAGTTTTCACTTAAATTGGTTCAAAAAAAGAAAAGTGAACTGAAAGCAGCATGCACCATTTGTAGAGAAATACGTTCGACTAGTCGTTAATTAATCAGAGTCACCAGCTGGAATTATTCTAATTTGCATGCTTTTACAGCTGATGAATTCTATTTCCATATTTGCACACGGAAACAACTACTGCCGAGTCTAAGTACGGTTAAATTGATTATATGAAAATTCTTATTTTCCCAACACGTATGCAGTTAGTACGTCTGTACGTATTTGTGGCAATTTTGGTTTTTTTCTTCGTGTATCTTTTAAGTGCAAATTCAATAGTATAGTTTCGAGAAGAATCTTCTAAAAATGTGGACTGTCATGTAAATTCAAACTGCTGAACTCTTATGATTGGCATGTAAATTAGCGTGAACCTGGCGACAGATAAACATACCTCGCATAATTATTTGTAAAGAAGTAATAAAAAAAAATAATAAATAGCTCTCGTCGAGGATGGCCGTTTCAAGGTGTCTCCTGTAAATCAAAATAGATAAATCCGTGTGTGTTTCAAAGTCTAGCGACAATTTTAATACAGAAAATCATATCACAAACTCAGTAAACTATACAGACCTGGTACAAAACAATTCTGTTTGCGTTTGATGTTGACATGTTGTACAAAAAATTCTTCCTATCTTCGTACAGGAGTGAAATGCCAAATGATCGTGGTTTGGTAATAGTTGACAGCCAGAGCCTTAGAATCGGTCCTATCCACAAACTCAAAATGCAGATCTCCCTTGGATGAAAGCCTTTCTATGTGTTAACAAATTAGTGGGAAACAGCCGAAATTTCTCGTATTTGCATGCTTTATTTTCATAATGTTACACAACAATGATTTTTCTGATAATCAGGGTCATTACTACCAATTTTTGTTACGTCTAAATTCGTTGTATCTGATACAGAAATTAAAAACCCTTGTTTATCCAGCAGGTGGTTGTTATGTAGTTAGATCTTTTCGTTAGTAAACTTTATAAATTGCTGGCCAATCCGATGGCTGTTGTAAGCTAAAGTGGAAATC